TGTGAGGAAACTCAGGACCAACTACTTGTATCTACTACTCCCTACTAATGCAGAAAAGGCCTCAGGTTCCCAGAATGTCCTGTACTCTGGACTGAGTGTAGGAGAGCACAATTCACAACTGACAGAAACAAAACATTCTTTGCATCACACACTTCATGTATTTCTATTCCAAACCCCTGCTGAAGACTAGGGCAGGCCAAAAGAAAGGTGTGAGACAGCTTTTGCTTGAAGGAAAAGGCAGTGTAGGTACTACCTATACCATCCACTCTCACCTCCTGCTGAAGGTGGGAGATCCCTGCTGGTCTGAAACAAAGCCCAGCCTGTCCTGATAGACCCACCATGTCTAAGTCAAGAGACAGAAGGCAGGACCTGTCTCTTCTGCATGCTCTTTCTGCAATATTTGATCAAGTACAGTACAAAGGGATCAAGCACATTAGGCCCATCACTGTGCTAGAGCTACTCAGTCCTCCCCAAATCCACAGGACAGACAGCAAACACAGTGCAGACATACTGCAGTGACCTTGCAGTGGAACCTGTACTCAACAGCTGACTGTCTCTACAGGGCTTCCTTTACAACTCATTTTCTTTCCAGTGCTGTTCCCATCCTGAACTGGTCTCTATATATCAGGGCACTGGGTAAGATATGAACGATATATGATGCAGATTTTCCTAATGTACAACAAATAACACTTTCCAACACTTTAAAAGAGAGCATTGCTCTCTCAGCACTTTTAAATTCTTAGTTTCTTTAAAAATTGAGCTCCAGAAATTTTCTGCATTTTATTTTCTATAGATGTTCCTCAATTTCTATTACCTTCCCCTATCCATATCCTTAAACTTCTTCAAAAGTTATAAAAGCCCACAAATGCTGGTGTGACCCTGCTGTACAGAACTGTGACCAATGCAGGATGCTGCTCAAAAATGTTGGGAGAGCCAGTTAGTTACCAAAACCCAAGGCAGTAGGTGCTACCATCTGTAATCACTTCCCTAGTGTCAGAATAAACTGCTTTCTCCTCAGTCACAAGATCATACAAACCTGAGGGAAGACTGGCATACTTCCCTGCTCTGGAATAGGTGAAACCTAGAACCTTTTCTATACTGACACTGCAGGGATTGCCATCCACAGAAGTAAAAGCATAAATTACAGTGGAGATTCCAGTGGGTGGGGAAATTTAATGGACGTAGAATTGCCTACATCCAAGTAATCCCACATAACAAGGGACTGTAGCAAGAGGCTGGCTAGGTTCAGAGAAAACTGTATCTTAAAATAATAATAATACGCATTCACAAGACAATCCATTTTGTAAGGAAAGTGAGTGAAGGTCTGTCAGTTGGAAATGGAAGAAGAAAATGGGTATCCAAATTAGGACGTCACAAAAATGAAATTTATAACAGTACTAATATGATACATGCTGTACTATATGCTGTCAGTTGTGGAGATCCACATTCTGTGTATGTCTCGATTCCACAATCAGTATAAATACGTCTTAATTCCAGTGGGTCCCCTAGTAGAATTGTATGACAATTTGACAGTGACTTGCCATGACATGCTCCCAGCTACTCCCAGTTTCCTCCTGCACAGTTTGACGTGCAAATGTAATAAAAATACTTCATCCAAATGCCTCATAAAGATTTATAGTAGTTTTGAACTTTGATAGGTGGATCCCCTGCATCTGGCAGGGTAACATTTCAGACTATTCCAAGAACAGTTGCCAACCTGCTTTGCACTGACATAGCTAATTCATAATCCATATTCTTAAATTTTGCACACCAAAAGATCTAAACACTGCAGTATTATCCACTCAGAAAAAAAATTTGATATGAACCTATCTTGAATTAATTTCACATCAGTTTTCACTGATCTTAAGATATTCACAGGATATTTCCTATCTGTTTTCTGAATTTATTGAAACCCATTCCCCTGATGCTGTTCTCATTCTAGTTATTTTCATCCCTCTTTAATGACTGTTACAACTCACATCCCACGGTCAAGAATATCTAACAGTGAGTTCCATTAATTATTATAACACAGAACAAAATCAACAGAATCAAAAGCAAAGTTTGAACACTTTCACAAAAGAAAAAACCCATCACCATCAATTTTTTCTTAGTGAGGGGTTAAGATTTTTTTTTTAGATCCTCTAAAACCAGAGCTAGAGCACAGTGACAAATATACAGAAAATAAGCAGAATTTTCACAAGTAGTATTTTCACACATAATCATCGTAGTATTTCCCATATGCATGCTCCTGTTCTCTAGTTACACCAAAAAAAAAAACAACAAAAAAACAGTAAGGGAGAATTAACCAACAGTCAATGACCACATTTATGAAAGATGTGCTGAAATTTTTGAGTATCTGAAATTTCAGTTTGTAAAGCTAAATTACAGAAACTTTTCCCTTAGTTTGATTCCAAAGTTGGGAGAGGAGCATGGGAAGAGTGAATCAAACATTAGCTCTTTGCCAGATTTCTTATTCTGCTTTTTAATATTGTTTTTAATATACAGTTTTCCCCAGATAATATGCACTTGACTGGGTCAGATTGAAGAAACTGAAAATCTTAATAGCAAACTATTAGAGAAATAAAAGTAAGTATGGCTAGGCATTATTAGAGACTCTGTAAAAGTTCTAGCTCTTCACTATGTTTCAAGCTATCTTGCATACCTTTTGCTATCTAAGAGCTCATCCTCTTAATTTCCACTTCTGTGCCAGTTTTAGCTTGCAATTTATTCTTCATCAATTCATTTTATGCTATGGTTTTAATTAAGTCTTCTACAGGAAGTAGAAAACTATTTGCTATGTCAAATAAATAACCATGAAAAGTTAGCAGCAGTGAGAAACAAAATAGAGGAAAGAGAAGATCTCTCCTTTTTGGTGACAGCAAAACATTGTGCCAGTGCGAGCTGGTGGTGCAGAACTTTCAATGTATCAAGTGAAAGAAAGTTGAACAAACAGAAGAATGAGAGAGAAACATCTAATAACAGAGGCATACTGATAATTCAGCAGATCTTCATTATGTCATCTGTATCACTAAAATAAATTTAATGTGCAAGAATCTTAAGATTCATATAAGTGCTACTCTCACTGACTTCAGTCAGAGGTGCAACTGCAGAGCATTTCAGAGCCATCCCCTCCTGCTCAAAGGAAAATCAGAGCAACTTCCGCTCTGGAGTGTAATACTCAGCATTTTTACTGAAGAAAAATTAGGAAACACAAAGGCTGCCACAATGTGGTCTTAGACACAATTAGTTCAATTCATTACTAACCTTAAAAGCCTCTTATACTCTGCTCCTGCAGAGTTCAGTAGCTATGTCCCACCTGGCCTGTCCTCCTATGGCACCACAACTACCATTCCAAACACAGAGATAAACCCCAAAGTTGCAGCATTGGGGTTTCACTGTGAAAGGCATGCCACCATAAATTCAAATATCGAGAAAAAGACTACCAGTAGTTCTGATAAAATAAGTCATTTTTACTGTTAATAAGGACTGGCACTGCATTAATCACGCAGAAGAAACGTGACTGTAGTTTTTACTGCTTCCTGTATGCTAAAAGACAAAGCCTTTTGTACACTCCTCAAAGTCACCATGAACTCCAGCAGTGATGAGATCAAAATCTGAAAGCAAGAGGAAGAAAACCTGGAAGCACTACAGTACCACATTAACCCTGAGGAAAAACACACTGCTGACAAAACGGTGTTCACAATATCTTCCCAGACACTTGTCTGAGTAGACTTAAAGTCACTGCCAGTTGTTCATGAAGTTGCACAGCAAAATAAGTCAGGGGAACTGCTCTGAAGAAAAATAACTCCAGCAGACCTTAAGTTTCTGAAGGGAAGGTGTGCACCCGTTCCCTTTCTCCCTTTATGGAAGGGTACCAACTTAAGTGACTGCACTATCTCAGACTTTCTGCTTCTCCTTGTACTCTGAAAAATACCATGTAAAAAGCCTCCACAGTCTCAGAACACTCTAGCTGATGGAAAAGATATGGAGTACAGCAAGCAGATAAACAAGCCTATGCAGGGAGAGAAAAGAGGAGTGTAAAACATTATAGCATGTGCATCTGGACAACTTCAGGAAACCTGCCTTCCATAAATTGTACATAGTGCAGAACACACAGGGCATCCGTAGAGACCAATGTGATGTGTAAGTGCATCTGGACTCCTGGAACACAGGCAGAAACCTAGAAAAGTATTTTTCTGCACAAGTGGGATGAATGTACATTTAAAAAATTATTTCACAGAATCGCAGAATCAATTAGGTTGAAAAAGACCTCTGAGATCACGGAGTCCAACTTACAAGTGAACACACCACCACCACCACTAAGTCCCACATCCAGTCCTTCCTTAAACACCTTCAGGGATGGTGACTCCACCACCTCCCTGGGCAGCCCATTCCAATCTCTAATCACCCTTTAAGTGAAGAAATTCTTCTCAATGTCCAACCTGAACCTCCCCTGGAGCAGCTTAAGGTTATTTCCTCTCGTCCTGCCGCTGGTTGACTGCAAGAAGAGACCGATGCTCATCTGGCTACAGCCTCCTTTCAGGTAGTTGTAGAGATCGATAAGTCTACCCGATCCTCCTCTTCTCCAGGCTAAACAACCCCAGCTCCCTCAGCCTGTCCTCACAGGACTTGTGCTCCAGTCTCTTCACCAGCCTCACTGCCCTTCTTTGGACCCTATCCTTCAAAGCACATGCAAAAGCGCTCCTAATTACCACAAACCACTGCTGCCTACCCCTCCCCCCTACAGAGCGGTGGCTGCGCTCTGAAACCCTCAGACGATGGGCTTTAGGGGTTTTTCTGGCATTAGGGCACCAGCCTGAGAAACCGCTCGTGTTTCCCGAAGCACGGGACGGGCCCGTCCTTCCCTCACTTCCCTTCCCTTCCCTTCGTTCAGCACCCGCTATTTTGTTTCCGTCAACCGCCGCGAAGCCGCTGCGCCCAGCGCTGAGCAGGACACGGACCGCGGGACACGGCCCCCCCCGCGCCTACCCGGTGTTTACCTGCGCGGGTCTCGTGCTTGGGCACCCGGTAATACTTGTTGCCGAACTGGTCGGTGCCAACCAGCTCCTTGGCGGGGCCCAAGAGCCGGAGCCGCAAGGCGCGGAGCGCCCGCCACGCGAGGCTCATCTCAGGATACCTCCGGCCGAGGCTGCGGCGTCGGACACACGCTCAGGGACACACAGCCCTCATCTATCCCGTCCCTGTCGAGCGCTTCCACCCCCAGCCCTACCCCGCTCCGGCCTATGGGCGGCGGGCGCTCCAGCAACGCCGCTCGCCATTGGCGCAGGCCGGCCCAAGACGGCTGCGCGGCGGGGCGTGGGGCGGTGCTCCCGCCATGTTGGGGCTGCTGTCCGCTCGCCAGCTTGGGTTGGACGATCCCGCGCGGCTGCGCCGGGCCGAGCGCACCCGCAGGTACCGCGGCGGGGCGGGGCGGGAGGCGATACGCGGGGGGCACCGGAGCGGCAGCGACTGGCTCCGCCCTGCCGGGGAGCCCTGACCGGCCCCCGTGGGGGTTGCGGGGAGAGCCGAAGTGGAGGAGCCGCCAGCCGCCTCGGCGGCGGCTCCGGCAGCGGCTCCCCGCGCCCCACCGGGGAGCGGCGTGGGTTTGCGTTTCGGAGCGTCCGTGGGTTTGCAGTGTCGTGCGTGGGTCTGAGCCATGGCAAGAGAGCACTGCAGTGCCCATTGTCTCATCCCCGCTCGCGGCTGTGCTCCACCTGTGGAGTGGCGAGGTGTCTGTAGTGCTCTGCGCCCGCATCGGGTCGTCGACCCTCTTCCCAAACCCGGCCTGCTGGTTGATTGCAGGAGAACCAGATGCACGCTTTTATTGGGTTCCCGGCAGCTTCTGTGGGAAGTGGTGGCTGCGTAGACAGGCTTGTTAATATTCATGGGTTATAAAGTGATAATATTTCTTCAACGTCAGAATGAGAATCAGTTTTGCAGCTGTGTTTCAAGGCAAATCCAGTAAAGCCTGCGTCAGTTCAGTCGCTCACGGGACTCCATTGTAGGGATTTGTGCTTGTGATTTTGGGAGCTGTATCATTGTAAAAAGAATGTTTTATATCGAAACATTGATTTAAAATGTTTCGGGAAACTCCTTTCAGCGAGCATTGTGACAGTATGGTTACATCCTTTCTGTGTCCCCAGTGCTCATGTAGCATTCAGTGTTAAGAATGTTTGACATAAAAAACAGCTATAGTCTTCAGTGGATTTTATTTATAGCTGCATTTTAAAGTCATATGTTTTAAAACAAGTTCCGCAGGGGCATTCACTAAAATTCAATCCGGAGCTCAGAGGTTTTAAACTAGATATCTAGTATAAGTCAAAATTCTTATTCTAAGCGAATTCTTCCATAATTATATTTCATGTCTGTTAAAAGACCTTAAATAACTTGCTGCTTTTAGTATATATCTACAGAGGTGCTGTTTGGGGACCTACCTGTAACAGCCTAAGGTTTTCACATCAGGATTTTTGCCAGTTGATCTTAAGTAGGGTCACTCTGCCTCACAGCTTTTCAGTTGCCTACTTAATTACTTTGTTCTTCTTTATGCTTTTGACAAAATGGTGCTGTACAGAGCTCTGATTATCTTGTAAGGCTAAATTTTTTACCAGGTAGTATGGTTTAAGGAAGCAGAATCTCTGTTATTCTGACCATATAACATATTAGCATATTTAAAAATACAGTTTACTAATTGCAGTTCAGAAGAGTTTGTCTTGGAAGCTTCATCATGTGGGTAGCCTAGTTTTTATTTATTTTGTTCCAGAAAATCTAACACACAAACTTTGGTTCATTAAAGGAAAACTTGATTAACTTGATAAACCAGATGAGTTTGTCCACTAGGTGTCTGTAGTTCCAAGTAGGATGAAGCTTGAAAGAATGTTACATAAATAAACTTCAAAGTAACTAATATTTGTTGTGAATAGAAGACATCTGAATGCTTCTGTTGCCCAAAGTTTTCAAATTGCATCTGGTTTTGTTTCCTATGTTGACCGCAAATGCAATTTTCCTATTTAAGTATTTATTTCTCTCTTACCTTCCAAACATCGAAGTATTTTTTTTTCTGCCAACTTCACAAGACTTATTTCCATCCCTATATCATGTGGTTTTGCAAAAATGTTACAAGGATGAGTTAAATAAATTGAAAAGGGCAAAACTACAGTTTTAGCTGTTCAGAACTGCATAGTAACATTCAATAATTCTGTTCTTGTTGTTCATATCTCTGTTTTTCTTTTTTTTTTTTTATTTTTGTTTTCGTTGGTTTTAGGGTTCTAAGTCTGGAATTAAATAAAGATAGAGATGTGGAAAGAATACATGAGAGTGGTATCAACACACTTGATATTGAGCCTGTTGAGGGAAGATAGTAAGTATATACTTTAGTTGGTAAAAATGTATATGAGTACTTCATTGTGTTTTGGTACTATGGATTTATTTTCTTGTTGAACACTCAATTATACTGAGCATATTGAGACCATGAATTTTGTAACTTTGTGCTTTATTAACACTTTTCAGCATGTTATCTGGTGAATCAGATGGCGTTATTGTACTTTATGACCTTGAAAACTTGACCAGAAAACCAAGTTACACCTGTAAAGCACTTTTCTCTGTGGGAAGGTAAGTATTCCAAAATTATATTAAAAGTTCATAGTATAGCTCTTGTGTGGCTAGGATTGAACTCACAAATTAATGTGTGTTCTTATTTCTAGGATAGAAAGAATGTAGAAAATAATACCAGAAATCTTTGAAGGCTAGTGTGATGACTTATGTTTTTTGAAATGCAAAAAAAAAAAAGCAAGAAACTTTGTGGGGATTTACGTGATTTACTAAGTAGCAGGAGCTAATTGTTTCTTCTTGATTTGTCTACTCTAATAGTTACAATATGTGTACAATGACTCTGTGGTATTACTTGAACAGATCTAGAGCAGTTCAAAAATTAAAAGGGAGAATATAAATTTTACTTCTTTGGGAACTAAAGTAAGAGAGTCTTATGTTGCTGTAGACTGCACAAAAAGAAGTCCGAGCTAGTACTCCAATCACATTTTAACACTAGAAAAAGATAGGTGAGGAAAAAACCAACCAAACTCTCTTCTAGCTCACAGTTCCTTACCTCTGAGTTCTGTTATTGTTTCATGTTGAAGTTTGGTGACTGTGCAAGTTTCGAGCTGGCTTGCCGCCAAGTCTCCAAAACTCAGCAACAGAGCCTGCTTCCCAGAGAGGGGAGAAGAAAACCAAACAGCCAAAGGTATAGCAAAAGATATATATTTTTCGTATAAAACAGATATATACAGTGAGAATACTATATACATATAACCCCAGAAACCCTAAATAGCTTCCTAAAAGGGAGGAGGGGAACGGAGAAGGGAAAAAGGACAAACGAAAAGGGACAGAAGCAAAACAGGTATGCACAATTGAAAAACCCGGTAACCAGCAAAATAAAGAACTGGCACAATCTCACCACTTCCCTTGAGAAAAGCATGACAGCCAGACCGTGGCCCAGCACTCTCCCCTCCCACAGTGGCAGACAACAGCAGTCACTGTAGGCCTCAACTTCAGATAAGCAAGACCACGTAGGGATCTACTGTTCTCGAACCTCGCTGGAAAAGAAGAGAGTGAGGTCCCTCTGGTCACCTTTATTTATACCTCAGCTTACGTAAAGGAATAGCATGGAATACGTCCTTGGTCACTCCCCTAGTTCCCTCCTGGTTACAAGCCGGTCTCCAGGAAGGCCTAGGGTGAAAACTATCACAGTGACTCTATGCCAGTAACTATGAGAAAAAGGTTTTGATACTGTTTTAGAAATATTCCTTTTATCCCCCAAATATATATAATATTTATATTTGAATAAATATGCTTTTAAGCAGAAGGAAAATTATCTACATAACCCTGTTCACCTGATGGGAAAAAAGATCTAACACCTATTTGCAATTGTTGATTTTATTTCCTCTCTCCCTGGTTGCAGCTATTTTAAGTTCATCTGGTTGTTCACCAGGCACAGCAGTAATTTATATAGAACTTCTTAAGAGCATGTTCAAATGAAGACAGATGTGTTATTAAAAAAATGGGGCATATTTTTCTAAAGAACAGGGTACTACCATGCTGTGTGTAATCTTTATAAAGAGTCTAAACCTTTATTGATTTGTCAGACTTTCTCTGCAGGCAGTATAAATTTTTCCATTATGGCCATAAAGTCTTTTAGCAAAATCTGGTTTTTCCCTGTATTTGGATTTTAGGGTTATCTAGTAAGTTGGAACTTCGAGACAGTAAGATATATCCTACAGTGTTAAAGATTAGTAGCTATATTTTCCCCTTATTTTTCCCAGTCTAGAAATTAATTGAGGTCTAAGAGCTTCATGAGCCAGATATACAAGAGCAGAACAGATTTGTTACAATAAAATTCTGTAATGCTATTTTGGACCATAAGAAGGAAAAAGGCTAATAGAACATGCATCAAAACAGATGAGTTGGGACAGCTGCATGTCAGCTGCATGTGTTTGTGGCTGGGACTTCTTGCACGAAATTATTTTAAATTGTAATTAAGAACATGTAGTGACTATACATCCCCAACTCTCAAAACTGAAACAAGTTCTGAAACAGATGCAGCAAAACGAAGAAATTCATTCTAAGAGGACACAACATAAAAGTTGTCATAGAATCATAGAATCAGCCGGGTTGGAAGGGACCTCCGAGATCATCAAGTCCAACCCTTGATCCACTACCGCTGTGGTTACTAGACCATGGCAGTAAGTGCCACATCCAGTCTCTTTTTAAAAACCTTCACGGACGGAAAATCCACTACTTCCCTGGGCAGCCCATTCCAATGTCTGATCACCCTCTCTGTAAAGAAATTCTTTCTAATATCTAACCTAAACCTCCCCTGGCACAACTTGAGACCATGCCCTCTTGTCTTGCTGATAGTTGCCTGGGAAAAGAGACCAACCCCCACC